CCCCCCCCCCCCCCCGAGCCACCTTTGGCAAAGGAGGAAGGATACGATTGGCCATCGGTGATACAGTCCTGTGGGAACAATGTTCCGTCCTCTCGAGGACGCGTGATCCAATGGTCTAACCGCCATAAGGCATGCAAAACATTAGAGTCACCCCCCCCACCTCCCCCCCACCCCGGGCATATCCCAGACGATGGGCTACATGCTCGCCACAGCCGCGGACAACACCATCCTCCGGGCGCACTTCGCCTTCATGGCGCACCGGAACGGCGTGTCCGTGAGCGACTTGGCCAACGCTACTGCTGAGGGAGGCGACACCGACGGGGGGGAGGACCTTAAGAAGGTACATTTTTCTTTTTGTTGCTTTACAAATCAGCGCTGCCACATCTGGTAGTATCTGTTTTCGTTTGTTTGTCTCGACCGCCGTACATCTTCATTTACGTCGACTTTCGTCTGTCGTCCTTCGTTGCTTCGGCTGGCATCTGTGTTAGTTTGTTTCGACTGCCTACTGCTTGTAGCAGCCTACCAGGTTCTCGTTTTCGTATGCACCCCCCCACCCAATCGACGCCGCTTTTTCTTGATTTTTCACGACAGGCGGCGGCGTTGTCGATGGCGAGGGCATGCAGCGGGACGCTGGGGCCGATGCCGAGGGAGCTGGTGGCCCTGCTGATGCGGCAGTACACGCCGGCGGGCGTGATCGAGCTCGTCAACACGCTGTCCCTTGTCAGCATGCTGCAGCGCTGGACCTCGATCTACATGCCCAAGCAGTAAGTCAGTCACAAGCAGCAGCGTGTGTGGGTGTGTGTGTGCGTCCTTTTTCTTAGCATCGACCGCGCTAACCGGCAGACGAATGAAAAGACGTCAGTCTCCGTGCGGTGGAAAACACAAAATGCTTCTGTAGGCCACGATTTTTTATTTCTTCTTTTTTTCTAATCGGTAAATATGGTAACAATACGATTGACAGTCGGAAAAAAAAAAATCCTTCCTCACGTAAACCAAATGAGGTGCCATGGTGTCATCAATAGATACCATCAGCTGCCTACCCAGCCTCGATTTATTGCGTTCTATACTGGTGGGATGCAATCTGATGTGACCGTGTGAGTATGCCCCTTCCCCCCCCGCGCGCTCCGTCCTCTCGTGACGCGTGGTCAATATGGTCTAACGACTAAATACGGCATGCGTTTACGTGAGTACCCCTCCCCCCCCGTGATATTTTAAAATTTTTCAACCAATCATTTCTGCGAAAGTAATGACTTTGTTCCCCTTGCTTAGCAAGTTCTTCATTCTTGCAATCAGCACGGTCGTGCGTGAAACGCACATTGCTGAATCGATAACCAATGAAATCGCATTCATTCATTCGGCTTAGCAGTGTCTGACTTCGGTGGGGCCACGGGGCTTGGAATTGCCACCTTCTCGTTTATCGGTCGCCCGCTGGTTACGCTACGCCCACCACGTTGTCCACCGTATGCGCCACCTGCTCGAGAAAAAAACACCCAGAAATGTAGTTTTCGAGGGCGGCGATTCTGTCCTGGTGATATCCACCAAATGACGGACCCTCTGGTCGAAGACCAGATCTCAAGCGTCCGGTTTTTCCGTCGCCTTCGAGCGTCGCGACGACGAATGTTCTCTCTCTGGCCAGC